ATTCCTCTTTTTATCCCCATCAACGAAGACGTCCACCGGGGCGAGGCGGTTCGGCTCCCCCTCGCGCTCGAACCGCATGGAGAGGCGATCGAGGTAGGTCTCGCGGGTGATGGGGAACCACTTGGGGAACTGGTCGAGGATCCACGAGAGGGCGAACCAGATCCCGCAGATGACCGAGGTGAGCCAGGGAGCGTACGCGTCGGTCGCGGGGGTGGTGATACGGAAGCGGAAGAAGAAAACCAGGATGAGGAGGCGGAGGACGATCACGATGCGGTAGGGGTTGATCCTGCTCGAGGGGATCGGCACTTTCCGCCACAGGGGCTGTCGAGCCTCCACCATGCTGCAAATGTTGGACGAACATAATTGCATGGAACCAGATTTCATGTCCACTTAGCACGTAAACTAACATGATATCAGCAACATCTTACAGCATATCATCCTCATAATTGTCCTCGTCATTTCCTCCATCATCTTTGTTTCTCACTCCTTTTCTTTCTTGCCTTTCCTTCCATTTCTCCACTCTATTCTTCCACTCCATATTCCCCTCCATCTCCCTTTCCACATCTAAATCTTTACCAGCAACTGAAGCGACATTACATGAAGAGACACAATAAGAAAAGCAATTAAAAGAAAATGTAAAAGACTATCTTCTTCTTTGTCTACTACTCACCACTGCCAGCAAAGGATGACAAAGTATGGCCATTTGGCCGCCATTGTTTCGCCCGTTCCCCATTCTCCTGTTCCAAAGCGTAGCTTAGATTGTTGTGATCCATCTGAACTGCTAAGGGAACATTACAGATCCATCAAGGTAATTCAGATGGATGCAATCTCGGCATTGGCTTGTTTGCTGAAGTTTGTTTATATTATTTTCTCTTATAGTATTGACATCATTATTATTTGCTTTTGCTAATCTGAATTACTTACTAAGTGTTCCATTCTCCCGTTGACGTGTGGAGTCCAGTCAATGCCTACTAAATATACTACATTAGGAAGGCATTTAAAGGAATGTTTTCTTATTAAATTGACGATTACAACATTATATAAAGACGTCTCTTCATATATGTTTCTATTCTAAGCATGCTCAACCTTCACAAGGCAAGGATGAAGCCTTGTCAATTATATCATAAGGTTCAACAATAAAGACTCGACAATTATTTAATTCACACTCATTTATGTTGATTTATACATTTATCAATAGCCTAAGATCATTATAACTCTTTTGTAGTCAATAGCCAAAAAAACCCTCTTCTCAATCTACGTACGTAAAAGATAAATTGATGTATAAAAGCAAATACAAAAGAGCTATACATAGATGAATAATCTTGTTAACTTTAGCCTTCATTGTGTTGTGAAGTGAATATGACGACTGCTCCCTTAAGTCGATTGCATCCCCGAAAATTTAAAGGGACTAAATTCAAAAGTGAAAAGAAAAAAAAAAGGGAAAGAAAAGAAGTAATTTATAGACTGATTAGTTATAAAGTTTATTAAGATTAGGCCAAAAATTATATACAATTAAATCAAGTAATTTTCCCATATTAATGTTTTATTCGTTATATTATATTGTGCATTATATCCATCCCACCATCAGCTTATTATTATTTTTTATAAATTTTATAATATATTTTTAGAAATAAAAACATTAAATAGCAACAAGTTGGGTTTTTTTAATCATTTAATCTGTTTAAATTACTTGGAAATGATTCAATAAGTTTATGACAAATTTATCGGGGTAATAAGTTCGTAAATCATACCCAATTTTATGAATTTTTTTAGGATAATTTATTCGAACGACACAAAAAAAAAAAGAGGATGAGATTAAGGGAGGACAGATTCATTAGTTTGCTGGAAGCCATCTCAAGAAGGATTAATATGCCCATGAAGAATATCAGGGTTAGATCATGTCAAATACATTAGTTTGTTGACATTTTAAATATTCGATTGATTGTTCATGCGATACAATGTCAATAGAATTTAATATGAAATTACTAGAAATGCGTGTTTAGAGATTTTAATTTTCATCATGAAAATTTAATGTTTTCATTGTAGATATCTTCATTAAATGATTTTTCCTTCATGAAGAATATTGGCAGTTTGCTAACATTAATTGATTTTTTATTTGATTTAATAACGGAATTACTAAAAGATTGGGGGTGACTGTTAGGTCCAATCTGGGGTCGGCTCTACTCTGGACCGGGTTCAGCTTGGGGCGGACCAAATCCAACCCGGTTTGGTTTGAAGGAACGTGGTTTCAGCCCACTTGGAAGCATTTGTTCGGCCAAGAAGAATAACACGGTTTGCCCACGTCAGATGATTGGCGATCTCATTCATGCTGATACAATTGCCGTCAAGTGGCCACCTCACTAGCTTGCCACGTCCTAAAATGCATATAAATGCGTCGCCTTATCAGCTTTATTCTCCCTTATCCCTTGTATCGTATAAAACACTGCTGTCATCA